TATTGAGAATTTCTTAGAATTTATGTGGACCTCAGGGTATTAAAATTGCTTCAAATTCAATTCCCAGAAATTCCCAAGAGTTCCACACTTCTTAAATTATAGGTAGTTTGTAAAGCTGAGAATTCCTAGGAATTCCAAGGGATTCCAAGTCCTCACAAAACTGGAGTCTTCCTTTCCCAGAAATTCCCAGTAATTCCAAGCTTTTTAAATCAGAGTTAATTTGCATAGTTGGGAATTTTTGAGAATTCCTAGGAATTCCTAGGAATTCCTAGGAATTCCCAGAAATTCCCAGAAAACTGGGAATTCAGTTTGCAAGGGTCATTTGCATAATTGGGAATTTTTGAGAATTCCTAGGAATTCCCAGAAAACTGGGAATTCAGTTCGCAAGGGTAAAATCCCCAAGAAAAACATTAAAATCAGAACAGCAACTATTGAGAATTTGGGTCAATGCTAGACACATTTGTCGGACTGACACTTTCGGTGACCTGTACACACCTATGATATTAACATGGGGAATGGCAACAACTTTGATAATGGTTATTTCTACTCCATTGGTGTTTTTGGCCAGTGGATATCCAGGCTTAAAGGGGATTTTAGTGTATACAGCTGTTCCACCAAAGGGTCTTGTAGTGAGTATTGCAGATTCACTGTCATTTCGAAATATAGTATACCCACTTATGGCATAGCGGTATTGCTATCTAAATGGTACAGTCTTGTTTCTGAGAATATATTGATATCCATATTTGAATAGTTTAGGTCACTACGTATGTCTTCAATATGTTTATGCAGAGATCTTGAATTAAGGAAGCAAATTTTAAAAGTATTTGGGTCTAATTCATAGATCGGAGTATTAGAAAGTTCGGTATGGCGATCTGTGCGTAACTGCTGCATATGAACTTTAACATCATGATTAACAGCTATTTTACTTTCAGAAAGGTCAGTTATGTAAAGTCCGTTAATTGTTGTTACTCTGCTGAGTCCTACATAATGCACATGAGGTATTGCTCTTTTGGTGTTAAAGTTAACAGCTATTCTAGTTTCTGTGTCACCTTGTGATCTATGTATGGTTTTGGCTGCTGCAGGTCTTAATGGAAACTGCTTTCTTACAACTTGGGCTGTTCTGTTTCTTCCTACTGCAAATTGTGCAATGATAGGTCTGATAGGAGTCCATGTAGGTTCAATTCCTTGCAAATACAATTGCTTGTTATCATGTCTAGTTTTTTCTCCAACATCAACATGGTCAAACTGTACCCAAATTATACCGGATGGTCTACTTTTGTCATATAATGTAATCTTTTTGATAATATTACTTGCCCCATTTGTGATACCATCATCAGTTCTTACATTTAATGCTATCTCTGTTCTCTCACCCTCAGCAAGTTGAAGGTTTGAGGCTAACTGCTTGCTTTTTCTAGGATCTAGTGGTATTTGGTTTAATATCTTACTTCTGAGTTTTGGAGAGTTTGCACCTATAACACTGTCTAAAGCTCTAATGGTGTATTTATCACCAGTAGCTGCCATATGGACTCTATTGTTCCACTCATCTACTTTAGAATTCTGTATAAACAAATGGGGAATATCAGTTGGGTAGTCTCTACAATTTTCTGAAATGCACCTCTCTTTAAGTTTGGCAATGTCATCTGTAGTGTGATTACCTTCTCTTAATCTGTTAAGAATTTCAGCGAATTGTTTACTTTCTCTCTGCCTCATGATTTCTTGTAATTCAAACATGGTAAAAAGTTCTTTCCAGAGGTTGAGAGCAAGAGCTCCATACTCTGAGTCTTTCATGTCTTTAAACACATATCTATCCATAACTGGTTCTAGCTGGAATAAATCACCCAGTGCAATAACACTAACACCCCCAAATGCCTCTTTGCTGCCTTTAATATCTTTTAATCTATTGTTTATTTGTACATTAAACATGGTATTTCCTACCATAGATATCTCATCTAGAAATATTAGTTTAAGTGCATGAAGTTTGCATCTCAAAGTGTTAAGTCTACTAGAGTCTAATGGTTTGTAATTCTTAAGTGATTGGCATGCTGGTATTTGCAAGGTACTATGTATTGTGTTACCTCTGATAGAAAAAGCAGCTTTTCCAGTAGGGGCAAGCAACAATATTTTGACTTCTTGGAAATCTTCTCCATGTCTGGAGTTATAATATTTTAATGCTGCCTGATATAATGCTTTGACAAGATGGGACTTACCCACTCCAGCTCCTCCAGAGAGAAAATAGTAAAATGGTTTGTCTGATGTTTTAATAAGATGCAAGACACTTCTAATAATTCTAGCTGATGATCTTTTTCTATTTGTTTCCTTATTGCTCCTACTTTCATCAGGAAGGGTATCATCATTTTCATCAGTGCCTGTTTCTAAAGGAAGTTTATCTGTATCATTTTGAAAAGATTTCTTTACATAAGGCTTTTGAGACAAGTCATACCATGCTACCCAATCTGCTAATGTTAGGTGTTCAAGGCTGAAAGGACGTTTTACATATCTCTGCAACAGACCAGTTGTATACACTTCTTCACAATCATCTTCCATTTCCTTAATTTCATTAAGTTGCTTTAGGAGCTGCACTCTTTCATTGGGAGGTGCAGTATTTATGAATACCACTTGTCGTGATGACTTCTTCATAGGGAGCTGGAGAACAATGTAGACAGCTTCTTGTGCACTAATTTCAACACTATTTAAAAATTTGTTTCCAATATCCCTGACTTGTTGCTTGATGTTGGAATTTTCTTTCCTCGCTTCTGCACATGCTTGTCGCAAAAGTTCACTCATTCCTTTTTGTGCTTTAGAAATATATGATACTATATACATAGCACACGCATAGATGTCAAGAAATTGAATATCCATGTTTGCTCTCTATGCTTTAAGGCAAGTTGGGTTGTAACTATTAATTCTTAACTCACTTGGTTCTCTTTTTAAAAATACAGTTGGAGAATTCAAAGCTGACCTGATAGCTAATCGATAGTTATTTTCAGTAATACTTAGTTTAAGAAGCAGCTCCTCAAAAGTAATTGATTCACCATCCTTTAAATCATTTAGTTGCTTTTTAATAGTTTTCCAAGTTTCTTTATGTTTTTTAATTTCATGTTGTGATATATCTGAACCTAAAGGATACATGATTTCAGTTGCTCTCATAGGAGGTTGCGGGTAATTAAATCGACATTCACTCTTTGACTTCTTTCGACATATGTGAGAATGCCTGTGAATTTGTCTGTTCACTAGTTTCTGCAGTTGTGGGTCATCAATTGGCCATTTACAACTTACAATCTGATCAATGAACGTTGTAACAGTTGCATCATCATCAATTCCAAACACTGGTGCACTTTCTAACCATATAAGCATATGGATATGAGGTGAACCTCGTTGTTGAAATTCTACTCTATAGAACCAGTCAGATATCCTTCCTAGAGGTTGGCACGTATTCAAGAGGAAGTTAGTGAGAAATTGACTGATCTGATAATCAAAATGTCTGGCACATGATACTGGGTCACTTTGAATTAACCTACATTTTTCATCCCAGTTCATATTTTCCAGATGAGTATCAGTGTACTGTTTGTGGTCAACCAACTCTCCAAGTATTCTGAGCAAATGAATCCACTGAGTTTCTGCTGAAGAGAAACTACAAAATAACGAGGCTGGTCCTAATTGTCTTATCATGGCAAACAAGTCTTTCTTTGCTTTTTCAAAATATGGTGGGGAACCTCTTAATGCTCTAAGAAACTGAAATCCATCATCATGATGAATCAATTTCTCTATTGCCCCTTCTTGTTTAAGTTGTGCTGCATTTAAAGTTCTGCTATTCCCTTTGCACTTTCTGAGAGCAACTTGGGAATTTCCTAATAGTATTTTCATTTGGAGTTTCTTTGTTTTAAAGAATATGTTTTCAACACACATAGCCACTCTTCTATCTGACCGCCTCAATTCAGATTTACAAATGTCACTGTAATGCACGCTAACCAATCTCTCTTTATTTTCTGGTCGTTTTTGTCCAAGAAATATGCCAGGATATGCCAATTCTTCAGAATATTGATCTCTGAATATGCTTAAAGGTTTATTCCCTTCACATGGTGCAACATTTAAAATATGTTGACCCTCATTGTCCTCAACAAAATTTGTGTTTGTCAACATGGTGTCAGTAACTCCAGCAGGTATTTCTACTTCATCTTCACTCCACTGATCTTCGGTCTCTACAACTTCATCACAATTAGTATTACTTGAAGTATTAACACAATTGTTAACAATATTTTGTAGCCCTTTGTGTTCATTTTCAATATTTCTTTCATCTACCAAACAGTTGTCTCTATATTCTACTCCCCAGACCTGATTAACTGTTATTCCTTCTTGTCTATACAGGCTACTGTTATTGATGAGCCAGTTAACTGCTTGAATAACTTTATGCAGTCTTACATTGAAAGACATTGCTGAACTTTTGTATTGTAATTTTCTCTTTAAATTTACTTTAATTGTACCAGTATCACTGGGTAACCTTGGTAACACATTAACAGTATTGGATACTTCTGCCACTACATTAACTACATTTCCAAGAATTTTGAATTGCCTTCCCCTTGGAGCTTGCATTAATTTTTGAAATGCAAGTCTTGGTGCAAGAAGTCTACATTCAAGTTCATTCAAGTCAAAAAAATCTGGTTTTTTCGGAAATTGCATTCCATTTAAAATAGCAGTAGGAGGAACTTTATTCTTTATTAAGTATTTGTAGCATGTTCTGCAAAGCCACTCTTTATGTTTGACACTTACTTTATTAATAAGGTATTTTTCCCCAGCTGCAGGATTTGATTTCTTTAATGTATTGGCTGAAGAAACACTGTGTTTATACCATAGCTGGTCACAACAGCTACAGATGTATAATGGACCTTGCGACACTATTTCATGAAACTTTGAAATGTGATGATTCTCGTTTAGGTCTTCATCATTACTACTTTTTGCGGCAGTTGTTGCTACTCTAATGTGACATTCTCTATTCTGGTTTGCTACCTCACAGTGACATTGTTTTTTTGGTTTTTCTTAGTGGTATAAGTTTGGTCATCTATCCCAGACAGAACACTGCTATTCCTGTTGTTTGATTTTTGCATCCTACCTTCATCAGTCCTCCTTTTTTTCATATATTCCCTCAGGTAAGGATTGCGATTCCTTTTGGCACTTACTTCATTGATTTTAGATGTCTGCTTCCTACTTTCACTGGCCTTTTTCTTCTTCCTATATTCTCTCATGTGCATGCTTTTTTCCCTTTTTAGGCTGGCATTATGTGATCCTTCAGAGACAACTTTTTGTTCGATTTTGTTTAAAATATCAATATGCTGACTTTCTAGTGAACTAGAGCTACACATATATGGTACTGTTGATACATAATGTTCTTCATTTACATGACCTAAATAAATTGTTGTAGGAGGTTGTTGCAATAAATGCGCTGGTTCAATTAAAGTTGTATCAGAAAAATTTTCATTGGATTCTACAATATGAATTCTCAAGTTTTGTGACTCAGCAACTGCTTGAACAATGATTGCATCACACCATGAACCTTGCAAAGACATATTAACCAAATAGTCATCCCATGAACTGTGGGTATTGCTTTCAATGAAATTTTCTGGGTTTGACCTGAGATAATTAATACCATCTTGTCTGATTTGCAAGTGGTGACTTGGATCACCATACAACTGATGAGAAACAGCTCTAAAGAAACAATCACCTGCACCACCCACATCATGGGGTCTCAGTCCCAGCCGATGTAATCGAAAATTTAACAACATGGTAGAGCCTAATGACAATGTAGTTTGAGTGTTGACACCTTGAAGAGGACCTGGATTTAATTCAACATCACCTGAAGTCGAAAGCTTCATTCTTGACACACAGAATCTTCTACTATGAGTACTTGATGCTATTTTGTTGTGGTTAAATGAAGGGGCATGAGTTCCAAGTTTGCTTTTCTTTGCAGTCAGTTTGTTTAATTTTACAAACTTAGTGAAAAATCCCTCACATCTGTTCAGATATCTGACATAGCAGAACTTAAAGTCAGTAGCAAAGCTGTACAACCAAGAAGATTTAGGAATATATTTCCTTATAGAAACCTTAAATTTGCTTCTAGTTTTTCTTATCTTCGCGGTCTTGAAAACCTTGTTCATCGATATTCTGGACGGCTCTCGGTCTCTACGTCGTTTAATTGTTTTAGCTCTTTTGGAATGCCTGCAAGTATCGCTCCTTTGTAAAGAAAACAAGATACCCAAATCCGTCGATTTTGTTGAATGGACGCTTACATTCCCAAAAGCACTACTACTTTTAAAATTATTTTGTCTATAAAAATAAGCCACAGTTTTCTCCGACGGTTCATTACTCAAAGGCCTTCTCAGTTTAACGACAGCAGATTTTCTAGCTCTGCGCGATCCATTTTCAAAATACAGTTTCTTCAATCCTTTTACGGGCTCTACAGTCCCAAAACAGAGCTCAATTTTCCCCAAAAGGGACTTAATAATTCCCAAATGGGACTCAACTCTCCCCATAAGGGGCTCAATTATCCCCAAACGGGGCTCAATAATCCCCAAACGGGGCTCAATACTCCCCAAACGGGGCTCAATAATTGCATTCATGAAAGCGTGGTCAACATCTTGTTGGCGCCAGCTGCCTTGATGGATCACCTGAAAGTATCTTGTTAAGCCTTTCACTCGTTCACATTGAACCGTGCTTCGAAAACTGTGGCATAATGAGAAACAAACTTTGAGGAAATTCATTATAAAGACTCCACAAAAGACCGCTTCACTTTCCTACTTCACCATCCACGCGTGGGTTTGACTACGCACAACGTCGAAAGAAAACATCACCTTTTCATCGACTTGTTGTTTTCTTTTCGTTTCCAAATTCCATTGGTCTCGACTATTCCTCGCTCTGTTTTTTTCTTGAATGGGATTCGTCGTAGTTTTTTCGTTTCCGACTCCCCGCGATTATAAATCGATTTGTTTACACATTTTTTTTGGTTAACATTTTCTTTCCCCGTCATGTAGACCATCACAAAATGTATACTTTGATGTGGCCTTACTAGTGTGACCTCGTAATTTGTGGTATATGAAGTATTTTTCGAAATTTTTTGCACTCTTCCATAGGTGTCTTCGTGCTAAAGCACTAGACACCAAAAATGAGAGAGACCGGAGCGTGAGAGAGGGAGGGAGGGGGAGAGAGAGATATCAAGTTGATTTCATAAATAAAACGCGAAGTTTCGGAACATAGCAGATTCTTTAGTCTCATTTCCGACACAGTGGCACCTCCGACGGGACTCGCGAAGCATGGAGGAACTAACCAAAGAAGCAGAGGCTAAATTGCAAATGTTGCTGTAAACTGATGGAAAAATAGCAGATTTTTTAGTCTCATTTCCGACAGCCACAGGTTAAACAAAAGAGAAGTGTAAAGGAGTATGATCATACGGATTGTTTTGGTGGAATTCCGAATCCGAAGAAATTCTTTTTTCCCAGATGCGATCAACCTTAATCTTCTCTTTACTTTATTTCAATATTTGAATACATTGTAAAACACGCTGGTGATTGAAATTAGGAAGCTATCAGCCAAAAACCCTGCAATGCTGCCCTAAATTCCCCTAATTTACGTGTATGGAAAGTGCGCCGGCTAAAAGGAAGGAGTTCTACTCGGATCCGAAGAAAAGGCCAGTTTGATTTTCACACTAAGTGAAACGGCCATATGTCACGCTTTTTTTTAAGTCACGCAAAAGCAGATTCGAGAAGCATTTGCAAGCAATTTTAAAAGAGAAATCAGTGCTCCGGAGGTATTCAAAATCAGTTTAATGCAATACCCTTGGTGACCTTGAGATATAACGAACACTTTTGCAAGTGAAAATATTTGTGTGAGTCAATTGGTTTTGAAATCGAATATCTTATTCATTCTTTCAGTGCTGGACCTGGGAGACTGACGAAAAAGCAGCAAGCAAATTTCTTGGTTAAAAAGTCATAGACCTTTTCTTAGTAACGATCCGGTATTTCTTCATGGCCACCGCTGCAGCACCTTCGTTTCATTCGTCAAAAGAGACAACCAATTACGCCCGGCTGTGCAGGCTTCTGGTGGATGTCGGATCAGATGTCCTGATAGAAGCATTTGAAAAGAAGCGTCCAACCGGTAACCTAGACACAGTTTTGTCCAGTCCTCCAGTCCATACAGTGCTACAATCACTGAAAAAGAAAGTGTTAAATCCCCTACAATGGGGCAAACTGTATCCTGCTCTCAGATCCTCAGTTTCATCGAAGAATTTCGATATAACTCTTCTTATGGTCTTGCTGAGGAACATTTGTGGTCTTGCTCCTCCAGCGACAGGCTGGGATACACTTCCTCCTGCCACAGACACAACCTTCGAGGCAGATATCGTTCGTATCAAGTGCTACAGAAACACAGTTTATGGTCATGTCAGCAACTCCTCAGTTGATGACCCAACATTCCATCAATACTGGCAGGACATCCAAGATTCATTGGTGAGACTAGGTGGAACTGGTTATCGAAGTGCTATTGATGATCTGAAGAAGGAATGCATGGACCCTGATTTCGAAGAACACTACAAAGAGCTTCTTAAACAGTGCATCATGGATGAAGTCAGCATCAAAGAAAAATTGGATGAAATTGGTAAAAGCCTGCATGAAATGACAGAGCAGTTTGGTAAAAGCATGGATGAATTAAAGGAAGCAATCGTTAACCCTATAAAGAAAGCAGAAGACAAAGGTATTGTGTATTGACGGTAAAATCTGTGCACGGCCTTTTGATCTTTCTTGAGAAAGGAAACTTGAAGAGGAAGATTGAAGGGCCTCTGATCAGAGGGTGATAAGCAATTTAACAATCAGTTCATTTTAGTATTATAGAATGCCTACCTTTAACAAGAGCTCAAACTCAGAGAAATATCTTCCACTAGAACTGACCCCTTTCTCTCTGATCCGAAATTGGAAAAAAGACCAGGTGTTGGCTTTTCCATGAATTTTTTGGGTGATAAGCGAGTTATTTATCTATTTTTTTATTCCTCATGCGAGGAGTAAAGAGAACTCACAGTTCAAATAGATTCCCTGCCAAGGTTATTTGCACCAAAAAAACTGCAGTAAGTCGTACAGTATTTGCCTGGTCGGGTTCGTCGAAAGAAAGAAATGGGAAAAAGCTAAAATTCTTGATGAAGTGGAGACGACAGGACGCATTCTCTCCACTAAGTGTACTAAGGCCTCTGGCGTAAACACACACACAAAAAGTTTTCTACGTCAAAGTTAGTTCCTCCCGTACCACAAATTCCTGGAACCGCAACCGAAATGGGTCGGTTAGTGCTGGTAATCACATGATTTAGAGTAAGATTTAGGATGAAACAGCGCCAGCAAATTTTTCAAAAGCGAACAAATTGCGCGAGCCTGTCGGGCGAGAGCAATTTTTAGTATTTAAATAAAATTTACAAGTGCTGCTTTATCCAGAATTGCACGATATTTATTTTATTTAGTTGTTTCTTTCTTTCCTTTTTTTTTTTTCCGTGTCATGGCTCGCTGGTTTGGCCGCTTGCCTTTACCTTGTGCTGGAGTAGTCGGGCTTTTCCCCAAAAATTTGGGTCGAGATTTTATACTCACCGTCACGAGCAATCGGATTTTTGCACTCTTAGTCTCTTAGGTATCGGTCGACAGCAATAATCAGTACAAGAAAGATATCCCACGCCTCATGTAAGGTAATCCAGAACAGTATTAGATTCTGGATTCCACGCTGTGAGTGCTGGATTCCGGAATTCCGGAATCTTCCTCGTCTTTCTTACAAACTATTGCGTGAAATTCCACAAGATGTTTGTTAAGGGCCTCCGATTCATATTTTTCAATGCACAAACCTTCTAGACTTTTGGCCAGTTGTTTGTGCTTTGTTTTGTATTTTATTTTTTGCATTCTTCATCAAACTCTGGATTAAAAAGATTGTTACCTTCCCCTAACCTCTCCGCTATTTTATTTTGTAACGCTTTTGTGACTCTCCTAGCAATCAAACTGTTTCATCTGTCTACAATCAATTCCAACTTTCTGCTCTAAATCTCAACTTTCTGCGCTGTTTGGGATTAATTAACGTGTTCTCATCTAATGAGCGTTCTGAAATGTTTACAGGCATATTATTAAGAATGAAATAATTTAACCTTCACACCAACCCCTTGCTACGCTTTTTCAATTGGTCTGTCGGAATTTGGTGTCAATTAATTGCGAACGGATTCGAGATTAACTTGCACCTTTGGAAAGCCTAATTAAAGCAAAACTCAGCGAGTGTGATAGTCAATGAAACAATCGCGTTTCAATGACTCTTCGTCGAGCATTGAAAAAGTTAGTACATGAATGGTTTATGAAAATAAATGGAGGTAACGGTTTTCTTTTCAGCTGTAGCAGAATACTCCGATGCGTTAAAAGAATCAATAAGAAGCCAAACCGAGTACCTCGCTAATGCCTCACCGGCCATGTCCAATGTGAGAACAGATCACATATTCACCAACATCCTCATGCAACATGGAAGAAAACCAGTCGAGGATCTTGATGTGAAAAGAAAAGAACGCCTTCGCCAGTATGGTCAAATTGGTGGAAAGCAAATTAAAAGCTCTCAAGAAATTTTCATCCCAACTGACGGAAAACATCCTGAATCTGTTCTTGTCACTGGAAAGGCAGGCATTGGTAAAACACTGTTTTGTCAAAAGGTGATCAGAGATTGGGCTGACAACAAATTGTTTCGATCCGGAGCAAATGCAGAAGTACCTGATTTGAAGTTCGCATACTTACTTACGTTCCGTCAGCTTAATCTACTTGGGGACGACCCTGTTACCTTGGAGGATATCCTAAACCGATCCTCAGTGCTAGACGACCACTCAAACATCGACGACTCTATATTTGAGTACATTGTTCATCATTCCGAAGAAGTTTTGATTATAATCGACGGGTATGACGAGTGTTCACAACAAGAGTACATTGCTAGTGATTCAGATGAAAAGTACCCAAATAACGCCAAAAAGAAAATGCCAGTAGCAGCACTGTGTGCCAAGCTTATCAAAGGAAAAATACTGAGAGGTTCAGTCGTCATGATCACGTCAAGACCCGATGAATCTGACAAAATAAAAGCCAAAGACATCAATTTTGATAGATACGTTGAAATTACAGGATTTTCCGAGCCACAAGTAAAAGAATACATTGCACAGTATTTTAAAAACAACGACCGAATGAAAAATATTGTAATTGACCACATTACAAAGAATGTCAATCTTATCAGCTTTGCCCACATTCCTGTGCTCTGTTTTCTTATGTGCTCCTACTTTGAATATACTCTACAGCAACCAAAGAAGAATAATCCTCTCCCGGTGAAAACAAGTGACCTTTATGATGAAGTGGTCAACATGTTCGTGCAAAAGCACGATAAAAAGAAAAGAGCCTCTCTCGAAGAGACTCTGGATGAATTATCAGAGCTGGCTGCTCAACTTCTTCTGGAGAGGAGGTTTCTTTTCCTTAAAGAGGATTTGAAAACTCTTGACTTACACGAGTTTGAAAGGCTGTGTGGAAGCGGTCTTCTTCATTGCGGTCCTCCTTTCAGAAAATCTTTTTCTACGACGACTAAACATTTTTTTTACACACTTGACTGTCCAAGAGTACTTAGCGGCTCGTTGCTTTGTAAAGACAAGAACAATCCCACCCAGACATGTGTCTACAGAAGTAGATCTATTTATGTCGGGTATTTTGTCCGAGCAAAAAGACAACGAATTTGTGGAAAAGTTGATTATCAACAAATTTCTCAGCGACGACCTATCAGCAGATGAATGCACAAGGGGGCTTTTAATTTCTAAATGTCTCCTACAATACGAAGACATCAAGTTTGCTAAGGGAATAGTAAGGAGATTTCACGACATGAATGCACAAGGGGGGCTTTTAATTTCTAAATGTCTCCTACAATACGAAGACATCAAGTTTGCTAAGGGAATAGTAAGGAGATTTCACGACATATTCTGCATACGTAATGGACGTTTTGATCTTTCTCGCGTCGGGATGGCGTATGTGGACTGCCCTGTTGTGTCTTTTACATTAAATGTTTTTGGTGTGCTCAATGCAGAGGAGGAATCTGAATGGAATAGAATCACCACGCTTGAACTGAGTGGTGGGGAGGTTACCGATGCCGGTATTGCCAGTCTATGTCAAGAATTACAGACACTAACATGTAAAGTCACCGAACTTCATCTGGGTCATAATCAGATCACCGATGCCGGTGTTGTCAATCTTTGTCAAGCATTACAGGCACCAACATGTAAAGTCACCGAACTTGATCTGGTTGGTAATCAGATCACCGATGCCGGTGTTGCTAGTCTATGTCAAGCATTTCAGACACCAACATGTAAAGTCACCGCACTTAATTTGCGTGGTAATCAGATCACCGATGCCGGTGTTGTCAGTCTCTGTGAAGCATTACAAATACCAACATGGAAAGTATGGGGAGCCATTTTGTGCCAAAATCATCACTCGTTAGTGATGAAACTCAATCGTTAGAGCTATCAACAAATCGTGTTTTAAAATCAATTTAGTCTCCGCTCTAAAAAATGTTCAATCATTAGCCCTAAGCCTCAATCGCTTGTGTTGTTCCACCAAAAAAAAAATTAAAAGCGCCAGTTGTAAATCGCTGGTGTTCCGAGACAGATCGATAGCGCTTAATATCAATTAAAGGTTTTAATGTCAGTCGATAGTGTTAAACGAGTATGGCTTGTGTTATTTGTAAAATGCAGAAATTGTAACGATGCCAATCGTCCGTGCTGCCACCAATCGTTTGTGATAAGTACAAATCGCTACCGCAAAACATCAATCTTTAGTGCTAGTATCGACTTATTATCGATTCTAACTTGAACCAGCTTGTTTAGCAAAGATGAACCAATCAAATCTTGCTTACTTTCTTGCAATCTGATAAGGGACATTAAAATCCAAAAACATATTTTAAATAGTTCTTTTTTCATACTTATAAATGCCAGGCTATGTCAAGCATTGCAGACACCAACATGTACAGTCACCGCACTTAATCTGCGTATAGTATCAGATCATCGATTCCGGTGTTGTCAGTCTATGTTAAACATTACGGACACCAATATGTCAAGTAACCACACTTTGACAGAGATGGGTGTTTACACAATCCTGATGTTAACCTGGATCGAGTAAACGACATCATCAGTTTCGTGATCAGAATATTTCATGATTTTTTCCAAATTTAACTTTCTCCGGAACTAATGCAAACATTTCACAGGGGAATTCTCTATTATGCTTCTCAAGTTCAAAGAGGTGAAAACTTGATTATGGAGGCACTTCAGTGTTTGACGTTGAAGATAGGTGAACCGATTGCAGAAAGGAAAAACATGATTTGCTTTGAAGGGAAAAGTAACTGACTCTAACGACTCTTAGTTATCTCAGCCGGATAGGACACCTTATAAGCAGAAGAACGAGTTCGTGTCAAAGGTAGGGAATCCTGCATCGTCAACGAGCTGTCGTCTTTAGGTTAGAATCTCATTGTCTCGGAAGTTCTTGGGGTTAAAATGTATCTTGAGGGATTGTTTTCTTTGTAAACCGTTGACAACACAACACAAACCTGCAACAATGGCTCGAAAAGCAAGTAACATCGAACAACAAGAGACGCTTATACTTACGAGTGTTAACGACATCAGTGACGTTTTTATAAGACTCAGGAGCCTGTTAAAAAGCTGAACAAAAATGCAGACAATTAACACACATTTTCTTTTTTTAAGATTTCAACAGCTTTTGATGCAGTGCCATTTACTGATTCGTTACCTCTTCCATAACCAGTTTTGGGGAAGCCACTCTTATTGAGATTCCTATGGATTTAAGACCATTGAGAACTTCTTGATAGTCAATATTTCGGCTGAAAGAGAATGGAAAGGACAATTAAAACTGCATGAATGGAACTATGTTTATGACTAGGTCAAGTTGGACCAGCTGATGACTTTATTCTTAGTACTACTAACACACACCGTGACTTTGATTTTGATAATGCCCTTCCCTGAAGAAAAATGGATAGATAGATAATGTATATATATATATATATATATATATATAAATATTCATTTCAAAATACTTTCTGGGAAAATGGGAAAGAAAAAAATCATAACAAACAAACATATTTGCTTACACGTTTCAAACCTTATCCAACCCAAGGTTTGAAACCAGGATATGCTGTGGTCATTTTGCATTTTTTATGTCATCATGCTTTCAAATCAAGAAACAATATTGCGTATAATATATGAACTTACCGCTCCGTGACACGTGGTACCAAACGTCTGGTTCATTCCCTTTTCCGTTCCTGTCAAAACATAACTGAAAACCAAACAAAACATGGAACAATTTGGGTCTCCATGTCTGCTCAAGATAACCAATAGTTTCGTCCCTCGTGAAAAAGTGTTTTTCATAAGGCTATATGTATAGGGATCGAAAACACCAACAATAATAGCAAATACCTACAATAATAACAATACCCTTGAACGTTACTTCCCCGAGACTACTTTTTAACTTACCTACACCTACACCTACACTACCTACCTACACCTACACTTAACCTTACCTAAAAGTGCCCATGGTTCCTCCAATCAGTACAGGTTGACCAGTCAACTGATAAAATAATGGACAAGACGATGAGTACATGTATCTCAGCAAGAGCAAAGAAAGTTTTCATTAATTTAGAGTCGTGAAACAAAACGCTGCCTGTTGAGCCACCTGCGCCCTCAGTCGAGAAAAAGGAGCCAAGGAAGAAGCGAATAAATGAAGCCGAAGACAAAAGAACGTAAAAGTAAAACAAGAAAGGTGCTTGCCCTCAAAAGGAAGTATGGTACTCTGCGGGTTCCAATCATCGAGCGATTAAAGGGAAACGGAGGGAAGGGAGAATGAACGTGACGAAGAATGCGATTAAAACTGGGAAAGAAATAGCCCAACACGAAAAGCGTTGGACCAGTAAAATAACCTTGGAGCGAACGACTGTAAGCACTCAAACAACGATTTCTAACTTAAAAAAGTAAAATAAAATAAACCTTAAACCTTGCGATCGAAAGGAGTAGTAAACAGTGAATAGCCGACCTGATAATCCACTAGGATAAGCGGATGATGAGGAGGAAATGCACGGGTTGATCCTTTCCTGCGTACTAAGAGAGTCTTCTGTACACTGTCCAATATCTAATCTACTAGCTAAGGTAAGTAATTAAGTAATTTCAAAAGTTATATATATATCTATATATATCTATCTATCTATCTATATATATATATATATATATCTATATATCTATATATCTATCTATCTATCTATCTATCTATCTATATATATATATATATATATATTTAAATCCAAAGAACTGAAGATATTGTTGTAAGAACAATAAAGAATACATGTTCTTCGATCTTTGCCATGTTGTGTGACACGTCATAGATCACTTGCATGTCTAAGTCGTCCGGGGTACTCTTGGAAATTTTTCCGAAAGCTTGTCTTGTCAAAAATGTCATCGTTGAACGGTTGATCCAAGCGTAATTCGCTGCTGCAGCCATGCCTTTGAGGTAATCTTGACCTTCTTGTGAGTTAACTCTGGCACAAGCAAGCTGTAAAGGAACCAATTATATGGTTGTCAACACTTGTGTTTAAAACGAGAAACAAATCGTCGGAACCATCCAAATAAGGGGAAGAATAAACTAATCAGAACTTACGATTTCAGACCCGTTAGAGTAGAACATTACAATTGTGATTGTTTGTCGTAATCCTTAGGAGAAGCGAGCAGTTTAGACGGTTGATCATGAAAACTTTTGTCTCAGTAAGTTGCCTTGTTCTAAACCGACAAATAAGGGAAATTGGAGAAGACAAAATTTATCAGGCTAAAAACATGAATGATTTAACGTGAACTCTTATACCCTGGCTAAGTTGAGCTTGCGAATCCGATTTTCAACTTCATTGTTTTGAGAACAGTCTTAACTTCTCTGATTCCATCGCTAATGAAAACGTACTATTTCTCCACGTGCTTTTTTTGGGCCGTTCGTTCCGCTGACCATTGATCGCAATGTGAAAATCGACTCAACAGATACCAATAACGGAGAAAAGACACAAAGTCAATTTATATTACACCTATCACAGCGAAACTTCCCCAAAACCATCCAACTATAATTGCACTGGGAGCAATTGCTCATGTAATGACGTATAGAGATATCATTTCTGTAGATGTGGTAAATTAATCAAGGCTCGTTATCCCTACTCTACTAAATTAGATGCCTGGATAAAAATACTTGTTGGAGCAACTGCAAACAAAGCTTAGGGGAAATTCTACTTTAGCAAGTTCCACTTAATAGATGTCATTACAAGTTTCGGCCATGACAAGTGCAATTGTCGTGGAATACTTGACAAAATACAAACTTAATGCACAGACTTAAATGCACTACACTGTTAGCAAACCTGTCTGTCGTTGACTTCAATCTTGTCCCTTTTCATGGCTTTCTCCATTTCTACCAGTGCATCTGTAAAATGAAGAAATCAAGAATGCATGACTCGGGTGACAGCGATCACCTGGAAAATAATCAAGTCTTGCCTTCTGTGGAGACATAAGTTAAGTCGATAATACATTCATTTATCTATCGTAAAGAGAGGAACGGTATATAAACCATTTACCAGTGGCCACTTGATGTCCAAGTCCTCTACTGCCACTGTGGATCATCACACAAACCTTTTAAACATAAATTATATAATTATTGACAAGATCATTAGCAACCAAACTAACCCTAAACCAAAGAGTTCTACGTGAGACCCAGTTGATGCTGTTGGAGTTGGTAGTCGTGGTAGTTGGTAACTGAATGAGTAACAATTGATAAACACAAGAAGTGAGAGATAATTATTATGAGGTTTGAAATGTAACGAGAGAGACTAAGAAAAGATATTTGCTACAAGCTCAAGACAAATATCAAGCAGCTTTCCTAAAAGATCTTCAATTGCTCACATGCCTCACTCCTTGCAAGTCAGAGATCCCATGAGTGACTAAGACTTGATTTCTCCTTACAATATCAATACAGTATTAACCAGAAAAGTGATGAGAATAAAGAAAAATATCAATTTGCGGATAATTAGTTGATCCTATACTTAATTCTCTGAACTAACATCATAACAATTGTATGGTTGACAGTATGGAGAATTACAAAATTGATCTGGGAGTTAAAGGGTTAAGACGTAAGTGCCCTTTTTTCTACCTGTCCAAGATGATCAACTCCCATCTTCTTTGCAGCATAATTGTCGTAAATTTCATCCACAACCTGGATTTCCGCATAGTGATTCCCCGCTCCAAGAGTGCCAAGCTAATCAGTGGAGAAGATAAGCCATAACAGTTATCCTTCGTCAGCTTTAGGGTTTCTAATGCTGACAAAGGGTTAACGTTCGAAACGTTAGCTTTAGGAACTCTTAACGGTGGCTAATTTACACATCAATTCAGTTCATAAATCATCTTATCCTGCTATACCCCCTAACGATACAGCACCGCAAATTCCCTAAAAACTTACCATTTTACTTAACCGTTAAGTAAAAGCCTACTTAGAGCTTGAAGTAATCTGTACGTTTGAGAACAATTTTGGTCGAAAGGCGAAAGTGATCTGGACGCCACTGGCTACTAACACTGTACAGTCATGGATGGAAACTCGTGCCACTTTCTCGCAAGATCAGCCAGGGCGTGGAATTGCGCCTGATACAGGCGCCAATGCGACTAAATTTTTCACTTTGGCGACCAAATCCTGAAAGTTAGTCGCCAAATTGGCGACTAGAACGTTTCATCATAACCTGAACAGTGAATTAAAAAGATTTGCAAAGATAAATCCGCGGCAAACTTCCTCGTTAAGTTTGTTTCCAAAACGTAGCACATGCATCTCGATCGATAACTAGACGCCATCTTGGATTTAGATAAGCCTGAACGTTGTATATGATCCATCCTAGTGTCCACTTTGTAGCACGTTAAAGATCTTTTCCCTAACTTAATTTTGGAGAGTCTATCTAGAACGCTGACAGCGTAAAGAAAGATTTTGTTTGTCTTTGAAAATGGCAACCAACTTTTTTTGAATTGGCTACCACTTTGAAGAATTTAGGAGCCAAGTGGCTATCAGAAAAAAAAAGTTAATTTCACGCCCTGCAGACGCAACTTATTCTAAAATCAGTCGCGACATGGTACTATATGTAGCCAGCCTCCCTCCCTCCCTTCCCCTCCCTAGCTCTGTAGAGTTTGCTCAATTTCGTAATGAGATCCCACTGGTTCCTTGCCATATTTGACTTTGTTCTACTTGCTCGTTGTAATAGCGTTCCCTTTGATTACAGAGGACTTTCGATAAAAGAACGCCTTCACAACAGGCTGCAAAGAATCAGTCATCAATTGCGCTACCCTCGTCGCGCAGTCAACACTCGTATCAAACGCTCCTGCTTATTTTATTCAGTAAGAGCTACAAATGAAACTTCTGTGCTTCTGTATTATCCTGCGGCAAGCCTCGTTTCTTTGCTCTTGCGCTAACTTTTCCAGGGTCAGCCTGCAGCATTCGTCCGTACTCTTCACAATGCTCCTTATCCTCAGCCCAAGCATAACCTGTAATGAGAAGACAAAATTACATATAACTAAGAAGCCTTCAGATGAACACCAGTGACACCTTAAATATGACCGTCACGATTTTCAACTACCAATTTTGTTCACCTTAATACCAGATAACGTAATTTTAAATTCTTTGAAAATACTTATTTGAGATGGCACATGTACAATGTATATCTAAATTTCCCCGTGACTCTTTCTCTGTTGTCCACTTCTCACTTGCCTCTTTCCGATAAAAACTACCCGTTAAGCACCCTTATTTGGAATTTCCTAACTTACCATCACCCAAATCAACTCGAAAATGAATTAAAAACATCCTCACACCTTCTATTAACTGCATGGCTTTCATAAGACACCCCCTTAAAAATACAACCTAAAAGAAAAGTTAGGAAAATGGCCAACCTTCTCTTAAGGACCAATCCATCCCCATTGAGAGAGCTTCCTCGAGATCTCTGTTGGAGAAAATCAAAAGAAATATTAAAATGACTACAGAAAAAAAGTAATGGACCCAATACAGTGTTATGACCAAGACAGAATTTCTCCTTACAATCTCAATTTACTATCAAGCAGACAAGTAATAAGGATAAAGAAAAGTATCAAGTTGGGAATCACTGGTATCAGTTGATCCAATATCAAATTCTCCAAACTATCATCATAGGGATAGTATGACAGAAAGTAAGGAAAATTACCAATGAAATCTTGAGAGTGAAAGGGTTAGGCTTGTAACTGAAGTCAGAATAAACAGCTTTGACTGACAAGTTGTACAAGAGATGAAAAACTCAGCTTACTTTGCACCCATGGGAATAACACCTTTAGAGCCAACACCAACAGGAATATGATCAAAAAGTGACTGAAATGAGAAGAAAAAAAAAAGAAACAAATATTATGGAAATTAGAAATGTTAGCATAACTAACAAGAAACATGAAAACAAACAAACAAACAAACAACAAACAAAAAACCAAAACAAACCAAAACAAACTAAAACAAAAAATAAAACAGTTCTCTTAAATGTTTTGCTGGTTTGCAAATGTTTCAGATAACTGAAGTCCTCTGTGCTAATTACGTGAAAGATACATTGTGCAAGTACATGTACATGTAGAAATGCACCCAGCCTGAGGCAAGCTAAAGCAGGCAAAATTATGGCAGGTGAGTGCTCAGTATCCTCTAGGTGAAAATTATATCTTAGATACTTGTAGCAGAGGAGGATTGGGGAGAGAAAGAAATTTGTACCAAGGGGGTAAATGACAGTCAAAAGGAAGAAGAGGAAATTTAACCATGATGTACTTTACCCTGTACCTGTGCTAATTGTTCTTTAACAGGTTTGACATCCTTCTCATCAAGGTTTGTCCTCAGTAGTCGCACTCCACAGTTGATATCAAAACCAACACCACCTAACACAGATGATCTTTTGTATGAGTACTTCTCATGATTATAAACAATAAGAACTTCTTTAAAATCAGATTTAGATGGGAGACTTCTTTTAAAGTAATCATACAATGAAAAAATACATTTCAAGAACAACAAGTTGTCAAAAATTTCGTGATCAGTGCCACAAGGACTTGAACAATTATTTTTAAATAATATGCATGTTATATGGCCAATTGAAAGCCACGCAAAGAAATGGCTTGTGTTTGTCATCACCATCTTGCATAACAAGTAAATATAAAATGACCAATTCAGAACAAACTCAAAGAATAGCATATAAGGTATTTCATTGCTACTTTGGTCTTGCTACACTAGCTTGTAATTTTGATCAATCATTAATAAATCTGTTCATCAATTCATTTATGAAGTAGACTTTTTTTTAACTTTACCAGGAGAAACAACTGCTTCCGGAAGAGACATGTCAAAGGCTGCCATATTCCCTACAAAAAGAGAAAAAAAAGAAATAAAAGAAATAGAGTCCTACTCAAAGGTGAGTTTCCAAATTACTTCTTTTGTGAGAGACAAGCACCCCTTCACTTTTGGCACCTTGTCTCATAAGAGTCACATAAATGTTATGACTTAGAATTCTGTTAATAAAAAGAAAGATTACTCCATCTCAAGGAATTGTAATTATAATTTTTAAATCAGTTTTTAACTACTTTGTCAGAGAATTGCAAAATCCCTTCCAATCAAGGGTAATTACCGTAGTAAATAAGAACAAAGATGAGACTATGAACTATGAACATGCAACCAACTTTAAGAATGAGAGAGCAAGAATGACTTAATTTTGATTGCTTTCAGTATTGCCTCTGAATGGTTGAAGCATACTGTTACTTTTCTAGAACAACCACTGAGCAATTAGCCTATATTAAAAAATAAAATCCAATTTAAACCTGAGTTTTATTTTACAATCAATTGGACATTACATTTTATTTATTACAGATGTGTGAGTTGTAACTTACCAATAGCAAACCCATAGCCAGAATGAACATCTGGTAGTCCAACTGATCTCTGAGGGCCAAGTGAAAAATATGAGTAAACATTTCAGAATAGAAACGGAGATACATAGCCTTTTTTTATTACTGTTGTTTGGTGGTATTGCTTTGGCATGTTGTCAAAATTACAGATTTTTCCATTAAAAAAAAAAAGATGATAAAAAAAGCTCTGCCTGAGGGTATATTGTCATTCATATAGTCCTATTGATGAGATGACAAGTTCTTTCAGAGATGACTAATCAATCGAAAGATGAATGATATTGTTTCTGAAAGTACTTTTTTCAGGACTTCTTTAGCCTGGAAAAAAAATGTGCATTTTCCCTGAGAAGGATATTAGGATACTGGTATTCTACTCATACAATTTCAGAATTTTCTAAAAGTATTGAGAAGGAAATAAAATTTTACCACAGAGAAAGTTCAACAAACCAAAATTCTGAAATAATGGGATAACTGGATGTGACTGGATATTTTTAAGTGAAATCTTTATGTGAAAATACTATGGAAACACAAACTGTATAGCAAGAAACTCTTCTGTCATCTCCTCTTTATACTTTCTCTGCTTCCCACAAGTACAGGGTCAGTTTGTTAAAAGCTGAGTTTAGACAACTAACAGTCAGTGTGAAATCTGATGTCATATCTGAAAGCTTTCAAATAAAATTCAGTATGTACAATTCCTTTAGTCTGCAATTTGATGATTGGATGCTCTAAAGAAATTATTGCAAATTATTCTAAAAAGGCTTTTAAACAAAGGATTGAACACACCCTGATTAAAATTAATTTTAACTCTGGGTTAGCACTTATCATCCTTCCAACCACTGGGCCCAGGGTTGAACAAGTTTCAATTACACTAAGTTATAATTTCAACAAGAAAAAGTTATGATCATTCTTACACCAACAATTCCAGGCAAAGCTGCAACATTTGCAATCTGCTTTACACCAGGAAGGAAACCACCAATACCTGGAGAGCAATTTAATTTAACTGTATAAAAGGAATAAGTAAAATGCAGCAAATACAACAGTATTATATTCCAAATGTTCAGAGTACTGTACCTTGAGTTCCAGCCCAGTTCTTCAGCTCATCAAACATTAGCTTTTCCAGCAACTCATTTATATAGAAGATACCTTCAACCTTTAAAGAAAAAGAAAAAGAAAAGAATAGTTTGAACTTCGGAGTCAAATAGCTGCAATGCACAGCTCAAGTCTTGTATCTGAAAGAGTGTGTAAAAATTTGTCCATGGTACTAACTGACTAAAACATTCTTGCAACAATTTACAGAAAAACGCCACAGTCTGCAACTTGGGGAAATGGAGATGGATAATGGATACAATTTGGTCAACCCTGTATTAAGTCATCACCCACGGGAAGAAGGCGTTCAATACAGTGCGAGTGCTTAAATACGGTGCCACCTAAGACAGGTTTAACTGTAGTTCGTGAATTGACTGATTGAAACAAAAAAAAAATGAGGAAACAGTCCCGACATAAAAGACGTGGAGGGGGGCAGGGGGCTAGGATTTGATCATAACGTGGGCTGAAAAGGTGTGTAAGGGGGGAGGGGGGGTGAACAAAATCTAGTTGAACCAATTTTCGTCGTGACAAAACTTATTTCAAATTTGCTTTGACGGATATGGCAGGCGTATGGGGATTTATTTTAGATGAACATGGTCTAATATAACCATCCTCACGTATTACATCGTAGGACGTGTATTTTGATGCGCACGCTACTCAGCTGGAGTTGGGCTTCCGACCCGATGTTTGGCGCGCGTTCACTTACCTTCATGTTTGGGACAAAGCCTTTCTTAATAAGAAACGAGTTTTTGTTTAAGCGCTCGATGAAAGAGCACTCCTCTTTGAATGTACGGTGTTCTTTCGCCATGTTAGTCCTTTTATTCACGTTTCACAACGGTTTCAGCTGATTCAGCGAAGAGAGAAAAGATCTGCCGCAGTAAATCAGCTCATGACTCCTGTTTGAATCACGCGCAGTACAATTTCTTATCCAGTCTTTCTCTGGCAAGTAATCCATAATGGCGGACGACGTGAGAGTGTTTTTATTAACTCTCTAGGGATAAACCAGAACTGTTGCTGTTATTCAAAAGAGCGTTTACATTCAGTTTCTCAGTTAAAGCTCTTTGCTCAATGCTCCATAATGGCAGAGAAGAATTCGAAAGGGAAGAAGCGGAAATGGGAACCAGTAGAATTGGACGATCCTTCGTTCTTTGCGGGCGAAATGGATGGATTTGTGTCCCTTGAAGTCATGGAAGATTATGATCTAAAAGAACTAACAGGAATTGGTACAAGTGGACCAGCTCGGAAGAAGAAAATAAAAAAGCGGCCGCCGCAGATGGTGAATTACTTAAAGTGCTTTAAAACCTACCGCGTTGTTAAATTCAGAAAATAAGATTCAAGCACGTGGTGAAATTACTTTGTATTTGACTTAAGTTTGAGTATGTACATGTAAATGAGAAATTGGAAAAAATATATTTGTATGTCAATTTTTTTGTGTATTTATTTTTTTATCATTACTCACCTTTAATTATTAAATGTAATAAATGGGAGAATTTTCAGCAAATTTTATGGATGAAGTCTCCTGTGCATCATCCAATCTTAGAAAATACATGTATGTCATAAATGTATGTTTGTGCAGTCTATACTGACACAAAATTGAGGGTTGTCCATTACATTCAAATTGGGTTGAATCATTTGTTTATGGACCCACCAGAAGTTATATTAAAGTTAACATGGCCACCAGGTGGACAATCAGACAGGGTTTGATGCTACTCTGGTTTAAGGATTTAATGAATGTAACCAAAGAAGTTATAATTCATAGACCCAACATTTCAACACTCCTGTCTAGTGCCTTCATCAGAGGTGATCCAAATGCTGCAACAAGAGGTCCTTTTATACCATCACTACTTAGCTGCCTTTTTTTCTGATGAGGTGTAAATAGGCGTCAGGTCATAAACCTACCCACACAGAGAAATAATTCACTCTCGATTCTCACCACCCTATTTGCCATAAAAAGGTCTGTAGCCAAAACTTTACTCAGGAGGGCTGACTGTCTACCATCTTCACTCAATTCGAAGGCTGAGGAGAGGAAATATGTTTCAAATGTCCAAAAGGCAAATGGCCATACAAAGACTCCTCTCCGTAACTACCAAAAACCAGTTACAACTAGTAGCACTCCAGATGAAAGGGAACCAGCAACTGGTTTTGCTGTTATTCCTTACATTCAGGGTGTTATGGAACCCATTAAGAGAATTTTGAATAGCCACAACATTAAAGTTGCTCAAAAACCTTCTCAGACTTTGGGATATATTTTTTCTAAACCTAAGGATCCTGTCACAAAAGAACAACAAACTGATGCCATTTATTCTATTTCTTGCAATGACTGTGACAACGAATACACTGGAAGACCAAACATCAGCTTGGTACACATTTGAAAGAACATCAAAAAGCAGCTTTCTTTTTGCAAAAAAGAAAATTCAGCTTTATTGGAGCACACATGCCTAAATAACCATACAATTGGGGGGATAATTCTAAAATTATCACCACTAATCGGCATTACCACCAGCACCTTTGTTTGGAAGCCTGGCATATTAACTCCACCTGCGCTCCTTTAATGATGATGGCGGCTTACTTCGTGACACCTATTTACACCTTGTCAGGAAAAAAGGTAGCTAATTAGGGATGGTATAACAGGACCTTTTGTTGCAGCGTTTAGATCACCCCTGATGAAGGCACTAGATAGGAGTGTCAAAATGTTGGGTCTATGAATTGTAACTTCTGCAGGAATCCTACCAGATCTTGTAAGATTCTTTTAAGTTTCTTACTAAGATACTTATTCAATTATTCAAAATGCAATGGTTTTTCTTCTTTTAGAGTAATTTAAGCATGAAAACAACAACAAAATTTTGTACTGCAGCAAACGTGTTCAAAGAATTAAAGCTCACTATCACTCATCTTAGTTGGCATTTCGGTCAATTTGACAGCTACTTGACGAGTAAATTTGCATATATTTCAATTCTGTACAAATATCAACCAAGCCTTAGTTCATTTAGTCCATGGACTTGTCAACATTGCCCTCTACATTGTGAACTTTTCTCTTGGAATCCAAGCATTTTTTATTCAAGTAGAGCCTTATTTGAGACCACCTCTTATTCATTTGGGTATCACCAAATTTCTGTTTTATGGCTCCTGTGGGAAGAAAAAAAGAAAAAAAGAAAATAGTTATTTGTATACACTACAAAATATACTAAAACCTTGAGAGCATATTTTTTAAAATCCCTGCCAGAGAGGAGTAACATGAGTTTACACTCATTGTACATCTAAAATGAAATATAACATGTTAGGAGACAAGAATCAAGATTGGAAAAAAAAACCCTCAGTGTTTAAATAATTAAGTATCATAATCTATTGTCTGCCGTAGAATTGTTACTCTGACTTCAATTCCAGCTTTCAGTAGCCTAAATTGTGAGGAGTACTTACTAAGGTAGAGGGGAGGAGCTTCTCAATGGTTCTCTCCTTTCTCCATCTCCTTTCTATGTGCTTAGATGTATAAACTATTCACCTGAGGCCTCTTCACGTGACAGAATAAAACAAGGATATCGCAACCTTGATTGTGTAATCGTAGTGTTCTTTCACAAGAAAAGCAAAACGCGATTTATCTTCTCTGGTGAGCTGTAAACTCATGTTACTTACCGACTGCGTCATTTTCTGTATTTTAAGCGACAGTAACATTAGCTATTTTGTAAAGAACTTGGCTTGTAAAATCCTAATTCTCGAAATCATTATTCTTCTTCAGGGCTTTAGACACAATTAAATTTCGCAACGAGGTAGATAACACTCAACCAAAGTAAAATTTCTGTAGAACTTTGCCGGAACAAAATGGCGCGAGAACGGTTGACAACAACGGTCGAGTGTTATTATAAGATTCTTACAAGGTCTTCCAAGATCCTACAAGATCTTCCAAGATCTTAATAAGATTTCCACCTGGGTACATGAAAGAAGACTTTCCCACACATTATAGCAAACAATTCTGTTACTTTAGAGCTGGTCTTTGACCTGAATTAATGTCTAAGTACTAAGAGAGTGTTGAATAACTACAAATATGACTTTTGTAAAAGCATCCTTGAGGAGAGCCGTTGAGCTGAAAGTATGTTTATAGTGTACCTCTTGAAAGAACTCAGACTGACTGACTGACAGATTGAAAGTTAAATTTTAATCTCTTAAGAAATAATTTGATAGTTCTTCCCTCAATATGTAGGTGTTATAATACTATAGTTGGTTGGCAGAACATTCTTTATGCAAAAATGTGCATTACAATAACATTGCTGTAAGTTTCTTAGTTCTCATATCATACGTTGGATAATGCTCTGAAATTGTCTGTTGAAGTTATGACAAAATCACTTGAGAGAAGTTTTGATTTCACGAATGGCTGGTTTTTAAGGAGGATGTTATTTAAGTGTATTAATTTTAAAATATGTTTTTACAAGGGTTCAGGTAAAACACTGGCCTTTGGGATTCCAATTCTTACCCACATCCTTGGCCAGAAGACCAGTCAAGAAGCAGGAGAAACTACAGAAAATGCTACCAAAAATAATGGTACAGAGGCTACAGAAACTAGTACTGGAACATCCAAGCTCAAGAAACCACTCCAGGCGTTGATAATGACACCAACCAGAGAATTGGCTATACAAATAAAAAATCATCTCAAACACGCTGCAAAACATACATCTTTAGAGGTAAACTTTATGTACTTAAATTGACAATTTGGAAGTTACCTCCACAGTTAGATTCTGTTTTCCATTGTTAGAAACTCAATTATCACTTTATTTTTATTGGCATAAGGCAATTTTGTCTCGATAGCCTTCAATACTATTTTTTTCAGTAGAGCAGAAGGCAAACCTATCTCTTGTTTGAAGAGTGTTTTTTATTTTTTATTTTTTCTGGAAACATAAATTTGTAGCCTCAATAAGCTTAAGCAACTTAAATTGACAATGAGTCAGCGCTGAAAACTTATTTATTCCCACAAACATAAACTGTACAGGGCGTGTAATTTTTTTTTTCCTGGTAGCCACTTGGCTCTTAAATTTTTCAAGGTAGTAGCCAATTCGAAAAAAGTTGGTCGCCATTTTTAAAGACAAACAAAACCTATTTTTTCTCCGCTGTCAGCGTTCTAGATAGACCCTCCAAATTTATGTTAGGAAAAAATATATTTACGTGCCACAAAGTGGACACTGGGATGGATGATATACAACGTTCAAGCTCACCTGTTTTGGAAACAAACTTAAAAGGAAGTTTGCCGCGGATTTACCTTAACGAATCTCGTTAACTCACTCGCCAATTTGGCGACTAATTTTCAGGATTTGGTTGCCAAAGAGAAAAATTTTGTCGCATTGGCGCCTGTATTAGGCGCAATTTCACGCCTTGTCGTATTGTTTTGTGGTATCATATTCTGGGCTGAAATATTTATGTTATCTTCGCCCCTTCATCAGCAAAGTATATAAAAACCCTTTTGTTCAGAGTATTACAATCCTACCCCTTATGATGTACCATTTACCCCCTTCCCTCCCCTCCCTTGCCGCCCCTTCTAGTCCTGTTTCAACGTGTATCTTTTATCAGAGAAATACCCAGAAAGCAAAGTCCTTCAAAATTATTTGAATCAATAAACAATTGAAACTGAAATTTATTTTTCCAAGATTGTTGCTGTGGTTGGAGGAATGGCACCTCAAAAACAACAGAGGCTTTTAAACAAGTGTCCTGAGATAAAAGTAGCCACCCCGGGAAGACTGTGGGATTTGATTTCCTATGTAAGTACCTCATGTATCATAAGTTGTACTGATTCACTTTCTTTTAGAGATCTGAAACAGTCGACACACACTTGTACATGTAGGTATGTTTCTCTTGAGATCGGTTGACCTGTGTAGTTTTCAGCATAAAGTTGGATTTCCAATGTCGCGTAAGTTTTTCCGTCCGTAAAACGCCGTAAAAATAATAAGCACTGCTGTAAGCATTTTCCACTGCTATGTAAACATCATTACCTGGCATGTTTTTTTTTTCTCTCTTTTTTTTTCAATAACCAACAGTCAAATTGGAGTGTAGCCTCTTTATATCAAATGGATGATTCTAGAGATATCTGCTCGCGGCGTTTAATTTCAGGGGGAAGAGCATGTCTGCCGTTTGGAGCACTTGAGATATCTTGTAATTGACGAGGCAGACAGAATGGTGGAGCAAGGCCACTTTCAAGAATTGTCTTCAATATTGGAGCTCATTCATAGAAAGAGGTACATACCACATCTACATTTATATTAACAATGGACTTCAATTTCCATTGAAGCTTTAATTTTTCCAGGCTTCTCCTTCTGAAATGGTTTTCTTGACAGCCAACCTGTAAGCTGAGGTAAATGACCCTCTTTTTATAAAATTTTAACTTTAGTGTTTCTTTTTCGCAGTGATAATGATGAAGATGAGGGAACTGCAAAGCGAAGACATCTACAGAAGTTTATTTTCTCTGCAACTTTAACTCTTCCAAAGTCGTTTAAGAGGAAAGGAAAAGAAAAGAAGATCACAAGTGAAGAAGGCTTTGGTAAATCACGGCATATTTGACTCAGAGTAATAGAAGCTAGAGATAGCATCAACGTATTTTATCAGCTGTTACTTAAGGAATGAAATGATTTAAATTATCCATCATTTAAAACCCAAAAATTTGCGGCTTTATCAAGTGTTTCGAAGTTTTTATTGTGTTGTTTTTGCTTTTGTCTTTGTTATCTAACATCTTAGTTAAACATGATTAAGTTGATCGGTTTGTGTTCTTCCGTTAACAGCAATACTCTTTGCATTTTACATTTTTAGTGTCACTGATGGACAAAGTTGGGCTGCAGAATAACAGTTGTAAAATTATCGATGTCACCAACAAGAGAGGAACCGTAGAAACCCTGACGGAAGCAAAGATCTCATGTGCAATTGAAGAGAAGGTTTGTAATAGTTGAGCTGACAAGGAAGCGAAACACTTCAAGATCCAGGATACACTTTTTATTACTTTTTATTATTGTTTTGAGCCAAATGCATCTACATGTACACTGCACTGTCTAGGAACATGATCCACGGAGCCACAGAGGTGTACCAAGTGAAATCGAAGGAGAACTACGAAACATACAGTTGTTGTAAAAATCACCTCATTCAGATTTATTTGAATTTTCTCTCTAGGACCTATATCTCTACTATTTCCTTTCAAGGTACCCAGGCCGTACTGTGGACTGTGAACTGTGTGAGGAGACTGGGCTCTTTGTTTAGGCTACTGGACTTTGACCCGTGGGTTCTTCACGCCAGCATGCAACAAAGGCAAAGATTAAAGAATTTAGACAGGTCGGGTGAAAACTGAGTGAAACGGAAAATACAAAAAACAATGAAACAAACGAAACAAACAAAAAGAAGAATAAAAACCAAGAACAAAAAAAAACCACGAAACAAAGGGAAAAAAAAAACAGCAAAACAGATCAAAGCAACAATTAGGAACCTAATTTTGTAGATAACGTGCTTTTTCCTGTTGCGTCTTTCACGTTCTTTATTCTGCAACTTGCTTTGCGCAAAACACGAGGCGACACGCGTGTTATGTGGCCTTGGATCAGAATCATCATGATCTTATTACTATTTTTTTTTTCATCAAAACAGTGAGTTTAGTTTACGACCTGACTGACCTATTAAACCAATCCTGATTGACAATGGAATTTCCTTTATATATAGACTATAACTGGATCGCCTTGACTGATTAAAACCCGCCCCTCTCCCCCCTCAGAGAATATTTATAGCTGGATAGGACTTATTTTACACCAGCATGAAATTTTGGCTGATTTTTTTTCTTGCCTGTTAGATTTAAGCAAAGTGCGAGTGGCTTACTTCTGGCTACAGATGTTGCCGCGAGAGGTTTGGACATTCCAGCTGTTGAGCATGTAATTCACTATCAAGTCCCGAAGGACCCTGATGTAAGTACGTGCAAGTATGTGTGTACGGTTGGTTAGCTTGTGTCGGTGGTTAGCTTGTGCGGCAGGCGGGAACGGAAGCGATTGCTTTTTGGCGGCAGTGCTTTCATTCTCTGCGAAACTCTACCTTGACAAAAGGCTTTGGGAGGCACGCTGCTTCAACCGACCATGCGTTGACCAAGGTGTGGGCTACAAGTCTCAACTGTAAGAGAAGCTCAACCAGAATGTGGATAGCAAAGTTCGAACGTAGTTGACGCCCGAATTCTTTCTCTAAATTTATTTTATTGTATCGCTTTACTTTTTTTTAAAACTTCATTTTCTACGTTTTTGTTTTGTTTCCAATTTGAGTTAATGTGTGAGGTTTACCTACCGAGATCAAAACATAATTCATTTAAGTTAATGAGTTTTGATTTAGGAAAAAAATTGACTCTGTTCTCCAAATGCAGTTTATTTGGAAGGATCAGTTTATTATCGTTTATCGTCCTCAGTTGTATCTCGTTTAATAATGAACTGTTGTGTAATGATGTAACCACAATGTAAGTATTAACTTTAGCGCAACCATCTCATGTGATCCTGCGTTCCTAAATTATTTCTCTGTGTTCGTTAACAGCTTTACATTCACCGCAGTGGACGGACAGCTAGAGCGAGCAGGGAAGGTCTGAGTGTCGTTCTTGTTGGCCCACAAGAAATGGGATCATACAAGAAAATTATGAAGACGCTTAATGGAGGTGATGTGTCTTTATTATCTCCAACGTATCTCTTTAACAGTTAAACTCTAAAAGGTTATTTGCAAATCCCCCTCAGTTTAAGGTGCCATTCGTCTAAATTTCCTTTTTAGTTAGATAACTCTTTACGCCTTAACATTAGTATGCATATTCTCCATGCATACTGTTCTTTATATATTTCTGAAGGTGTTGACATGGAGATTTCGTCAAACAATCAAGAGCTTCTTTAGTTGGTGATCATGTCCTCTATTCTCGTGGCTTTAAAGAGAACCTGCAGTTTTAAAACAAATACTGGTAAAAGGGCTCAAAATATATCAACTCAAGATATCTGGTCCTTAAAACCATACCTGTAACCTTGTTAATTTTATTTTCCGCTTTCAAAACTGGCCTTCACGGCAAGTTCGAACTACCCGCGTTCGCCATCTTGTTAGGTACGCAAGGCATTTTGGGTTGATGACGTGTAATGGTTGCTCCGTTCATTCGTAATTGGGTTATCCTACCTAATGCGTGTACGGATAGCTTTGTTAACAGGAGAATGATTGGGTACCCATTTGATAACAAGGTTAGAGGTTAATTTTAAGTACCCAATATCTTGTATTTGATACATTTATAACCTTTTTAAAAATATTTACTTGGGTGTGACAATCGTTAGGAGAAGTTGGAGGCTGGTCACTCTTATGGATCACATGGTTAAGAAAATTTGTCATGGCACGAAGATGATACCCCTCTAGATGATAAATATTTCTTTTAGCTGCAACCAAAATTTTAGGAGGAAAAGATACATCGTAATCGTCTTTAGGAGTTTACTGAGCCCGACTACAATTTAACCCTTTACACCCTTAAAAATCAGTTTGCATTTTCTCCACACCATTTTCCATGAATTTTCTATGGAACTAACAAAGAGAATTTGTTTAACAATCAAGAGTTTCTTTAGGTGGTCGTTCCCTGTATTCTCGTGACCTTTATGTTTGATTCAGGAGTGATGCTGTGAGAAGAAACTAGATGCCAGTCATTAATAGGCGTTTAAGGGTTAACTTACAGTCTCTCGTGTCATTCGTTTGTTTCTTTCATTTTTTTGTTCATATTTGTTATCTTGATTTTATTCTTTTTAAAATTTTGTGCTGCAGGAAACGAGCTAGACTCCTTTCCAGTTGATGTGTCTTTTATGTCCTCCATTAGGAAAAGAATTTCTCTCGCCAAGCAAATTGACAAAGAAGAACACTAGTAGGTGAAGATGAAAAAAAAAAAAAGAAAGAAAGGAAAAGAGAAATATGGCAATTATCTTTTGGTTAGCTCTTCGTTTTTTGTTTTGTTTGTTTGTCTTTTCGCGTAAGAAAAAGGCCCAAATTGATAATCGAGCTCGACAGCTCAGCATTTTTCGCACAAAGAATTGTTCACGCAGTTACGGATGTTCTCTCCTTCATTCTCAATTCCTTCCAACCCTCCCCCCCCCTCCCCTCCCTTTCTCTTTGTCTAAACTCCCCCTTTAATGAAAGCCATCGAACCATATTCACAGATTTAGGCACAAAAAGTCAAGTAATGACTGGATACTTGCCTCTGCCAAAGCCATGGACATTGAAGTTGACGAAGATTTGTATCTTTTTCGATGAGATGATTCATTCATTTACATGCACATTCTCGATCATTACGCTCCTGTGTGCTATCACGTGGTCAGGGACTAACTAGACTAGTAGCTTCAACATCAGTCTTAGGTGGTTTGGGCTTGAACGCATTTATTGTCAGAAACATTTCAACGGAACGGGCGGAACTGGTGTTCTGGAACTTTACTGCCTTGAAGGTTTGATGTCACATTTTGTAAACTGTCCTGTTCAGTTTATTTTCCTTAAAAGAGTTTTTTACAGACTAGAAGATCTCGGAGATCAGGGAGAAAGGAAAGAGCGACAAGTTAAGCTGAAGCAATTGAAAGGTAATCAACCTTTAGTTAAGGCAGACAATGGTTGTACTGACAGTCCCACCAAAAATAATGGATCTTGCAGGCTGATAATATCTCAGTGCAATCAAAATGGGTTACATTTGGCTTGTAGTAGTAGAGTGGGGTGTGGATTATTGTTCCCATGGTTCTTACGTTTGAGTTCTATGTGAAAGGGAAGTATGAAAAGGTAGGCGTGGGTTAGCGTTAGCTTAGGTTGAGTCAAGTGCTCCTTTCATTTATTGGTAAAACTTTTATACAATCTATATCTGTGCCGTTTTATTTTACAGCGGAACTTACTGGTTTGCTGAAGACACCTCTGATTCCTGCTGGTTTTAGTGGAAAGTACCCGACTAAAACTGGATCCCTTATAATGCCAGGGATCAAAGGTATTAAGTGAGTAGAGAAACAAGAGTATTTTGAGGGACAAAATGACACATCGTTTTGTGATCTTTAGTGAAGAGTATTGTTAATGATTTAAGAGACTTAGTGTCAACTGGGCAACCTTAGAAAGAAAAAAATAAGAAAAATAGCGGAGGAATTTAAATGAAGTCAAAATTACCTCAAGGGGACAAAAGTTTTCCACTAGTGAAATAGAAGAAAAGTTTTTAGGCTAGGCACCTTTTTTTCTTCTTTCCTTTTCTTTTCCTTTATGTTACTGTTTTGTTTGTTTGTTAGTTTGTCTTTTATCTTCTCTCGTCCTGCTGCCATCCGCTGGTTTTCTTGTCCTTTAAGTAAATGCTTTTTTCTTTTCCTCGTTATGTGCCAACTGTCTAAATGTTCGTTTTATTTTGGTATACACAGCCGAAACGAATTTGGAAGATAATGAAAAAGTGACTGTTGAAGATGTAAGAAGAAAGAAAAGAAACAAGAAAAGCAGAACGTAACTTGCATTCTTCAAACGAGGTCGACAACTGATCGTGAAAGAAGAAGGGAGATTAAAAACACGAAATGGAGAAAGATTCTTACTTGTAACAACTGGACTGGAAGAGAAAGAGTTGATTTGAGCAAGGTTGACTAGTCCGTGGTAGAATAAACTAAAATCTCGTCTTAAAGTCTTTGACCCCCAATGCTATATGGATACAATTTAACTTGAAGCAATGGCGTTCATATATCTTCGGGACACCACCCTTCAGACTCGCGGTATAATACGACTGGACAAAGCAACTAGTCACAGTCTGACAACACATGTCCACTTTGCGCATTTTCTTGATTTGTGATTTGAATTGATTTACAGAGGTTTTTTTTTTTTTACTCAGTGGCCCGAATTTAAAAGTTAGGATTGTTTCAGTCACATATTGCCGTTGGTCATATGAAGGTTTCAAGAATGGGTCGGAAAGGAACTGAAAACGCTGTTTTAAAGGGAAATTATTTTTCACATGCTTGACAAATGTTGTCCACAAACCTTGCGCTAGTTCATATATATAAAAAAATTTTAAAAAAATGTGTAGATGTGTAGTAAGTAGGAGATTCAGTAAAAGCCGGTCTACCGCCGTTTGTTGAGCAGGGTCTCGTGTTTAGGTTTCACCTTACGCCTTTTCTGGCACATTCGCTTATTACATCATCGGCAGCTACTTAAATGTATTGAGACCCCAGAATGTGAGAGAAATCGTTGGAAGGCTGTGCGAAGATTTTAATATTAAGAGGGCCAAACTACACGTAGGTGTGCATGGCGTTACTTGAGGAGACGTGAAGAATAACCCTTTTCCAATAAATAAGTCATTTACTGAGAAATCACTCTAAGACTCCTTCACACAAAACTTCCCTTGAATCTTTGCCGTTTAATTTATGCGTGAATGTTGTTTTGGTATCAATGCTATGAGAATATGTTACTGTGTAAGTGTACCACTCCACACCTGGTTGAAATTGGCGATTTGATGTGAATACGCGCAGGGCTTAGTCGTATGTGAAATCTGATGACCCGATTCTACCTTGTCTACTCGGTCCTGATGACCGATCAACATCCCAAACTGTAAGCCAAGACTGGTGTGGTTAGGTGGCTTGATTTGTGATCTTAATTCCATTAGGACAAACTAATCTCTGTCGAGTGCGGGCCAGATCTCAAGGCGGTAAAAATCTACATTTTCTATGATAATGATTATATTTTATATTATTATATGTATTGCACCATTATGCGAGCCAAATGCTGCATGGAGACAAAACCCTTGATTTAGTGGATCACGTTCTGCAGAGTCGTAATCCATCGATCTGAATTCAATTAATTTAGCCTGCTGGTCACTGGACTTGTAATGAGCTTGCAAATGTTAGAACTTGAATATAATAAAACCTATGAAGAGTTAACAATAATCCTCACACAGAACTTGCAAACTGGTAATGTTCTCTTACTGGGATAATCGGGTCTCTGATAGGCAGTCTAGTTACACTCTTACGCTCTCATTATTCTTGCTAGCAAATGAGATTCTCGATAATGGATAAGTTATCATTCTCTTAAATGCGGCACGGAATTTTTTCTTAAGGTATATCAGGAGCCACGGGTTAACAACGCTGTTTGCATGTCCACATCAATAGCATAACAGCATAAAATAATATGGCAGCGATTCCCGCACACTGAAGTCAATGGCCAAAATCATATGATACGCATGCGCTGGAAGCCAGCAAAGTGCAAAGGCAACAACGACAGCGATCGACATATGAATAACTTGACGCTTGGTAGCATGGGCCCGAGTTCTTGCGTGATTGTTGATGGCAATGCCCGGCAGTTTGTGCTTGTGCAGTGTGTGACAGACGTGTCCATGAAGAATGTACATGGTAACTAGGGGCAACAAGTAGATGGTGACTACGATATATAGAAAGATACCTCTCAAAGCTGCTTGAGTCTCACCAAACTGAGTAAACTTAAATTCTATCCTGGAGTTCTAACTTTGACTGTGATCAGCCATGGAGTCATCAGACACATTGAAGTGATCCAAATTGTGAGAACCAAGATCTTTTTGTTCCTAAAGCGAGGAAACTTTTGCATGGGAAGGACAATCCCGAAGAAGAAGTCAAAAGCCACGGCTGTTAGAGAGAAGACGGACGCTGTGACAGCCACGAAGAAAACAAACATGATGAGCTTGGCAAGTAATTCACCAAATGTTCCATCGATCCACAGATTATCCAAAATGATTAGTTCCATCGACTGAGGCATGACAACAGCTGTTACGAGCAGGTCGGCCACAGCGAGGTTGACGTACATGAAGCTTGTTAATCTTCTTGTTTCTGGGCTCTTGTACAGAATATAGATCAGCAAAATGTTTCCAACTAAGGCCATTGAAATGATTGCAGCGTATAAGATGGCCAAGGTGAGTTTAATACTTGATGGATACGAGAATGGAGGCTGCGCCGTGGAGCCTGAAAGAGAATGAAGTACCATGGTTAAAGCAAAAACAAAGGAAATAGGTCTGCAACGCGCGCGTACACCGAAAGGCGACATAGATGGTGACAATATGCAGTAATAATTATTGGAAAAACATCCATTAAACCCAAGCTTTCTCCATCATTGAAGAGTGCATCAATCATGTCATAAGGGGATATACAATTGATAGGAGGAAAATGTCAAAGCTGTTTGTGCTTTGCGTTTTTCACAAGTACTGCAGCAGCAACAATGGTAGCGTTAGCTATTTTTAGGACACTTTCAGGCGCTATTTGTGAAGGTGGTTTTCCTACCGTTATCAACCTGCGAGGACGTCAACATTTTTGGATCTGCAGCTTCCTAGTCTCTACTGTTTGAAGAAGTCAGCATAAAATATCTGAATACTTGGTTGACGGGATAAGCTCAGCTCTAAAAAAGCTGAGTCTTTATTTCACTCAACGTTGCGTTCTTTGAATATTGGGTCTGCCAGGAAAAAAAGTGAATTTCAGGTTATCATTGTCAAAATTACAAAAATCTAGATGCTTACCACAAACGGCGCAGCTCAGCTAGCCTGCTTAGCAGCCTCTTTCAGTTGATTTTTGTTTGTTTCTTGTATTTGTTTATCTTGTTTTGTTTTTGTTGTTTTTATTGCTCAAAAATGTGCTGCACATCTTTTTAGAACTAAAATTGTGTCAATCAGTTATTTCGATAATGAGGGAAAAACCTGAGATCCGAGATAAACATATCAGCAATCGCGTGATACGGAGAGAAAAGTGAGTAAGTTTCGATTTCAAGACGTCAAGTCGAGGAATTTTCTGCTCGTCATTTGCAGTACGTGTCAAACTTCGTGTTTTTTAATCATCGTAAACCAATTTTTGGATATTCTTATCATATTTTAAAGATATTCTCTCTCCCTAAAAATAAATGATAGATAAAACAATCAAAAAAAAGTAAGAAAACTGCTTTCTAAAAAAAAAAACCCACCCCCAGGAGAGCTTTCCATCTTTGTTTACGATTTTTAGCATAATAGAAAAGAATCGACACATGGCGTTATGCTCTGGTAAGGATAAATAATGAGGCATGTTTTGCTTGAAGTTGCCACGAATTGGTTAAGGCCAACGAAAAAAAATTTCAGGTTCTTGTGTTTGTTTTGTCAAGAAAAAACGCTTTGTGTGAAAGATTGCAAGATGCTTGTACATTGTCCGTCAAGTTTCTTTTCTTGTTTGTTTAACCTTGATCCTGACAACTCGTTACACCTCGTTTCCCTTTCAAAAAGGTCTCGAATCAATATTACTGAGTGATGAGTAATAGTCTTCGAAAGCGTTTGCAAGACGTTTATACTCGCCTTTTCCCCACGAACACGGGGGTTTTCATCTTTCAAATATATGTGCTGAAAATCCTGAAGTAATTTCCTTACTTCCTAGGCTCGTAGTCTTTTCGCATCGAGATTTATTCCACACATGGAAATGAGGGATATAAAGTTTGGCTTTCTGTGCATCAACTGTTTATAATTGGCCGTTTTTCCTTAGTTCTTTGCTGGAATTATCCGGTCATAAACCCATTGACGACGACAGCTTAGTTAAAGAGATGAAAATGGAAAATGAAAACTTAGCTAAGAAACTTTACTCTTGGGGAAGCCATTTGCCACCCAAATTATCGAATGATCGAAGCGCCAATTTTATGTCAACCTTTTTTTTTCGTCATCTAAGTTATTTTAAAGACGATTTCAGCGGATTTATCGCATAGCGATAGAAAAAGATGATGAAAAACACATGGACAGTAAAAGTCATAAAAGTAAATCAAATTATCAAATAAAACAAAAGTGCTTTATCTTTCCTTGTGCTATTGAGAACCCGGTTTGACGTTGTGATATTCGTTCCTACAAGGGAGAACTAAGATTGACTAATGAAAACATGGGAAAGTGGTTTTCTACCTTCAAAGATATCTTGATTCAATTATAATCCCGTAGATGCAAGAGTTCGCATTCCAAGTTTACATCTCGAGGGTCCTTTCGGCTGCTAACATGGCTTAAGCATGATCACTTAATTACAACGACGTTTGCCCGTAGGGGCTTTATTTTAGCCGTGTAGAGCAAAGTGCCCATCAAGGCAAATCATGGTTCGTTCTGTCGTATCTTTGTTGAGTATTTGTTTTTCATCTCATTAGGAGGCCAATTTACTTTTATTTCTTTTACTTTTATTCCTCATGAAGCGTGTTAACAAACTCGAGGCAGTTAATATTCGAAGTTAGAGCAAAAGACGATTTTTAGGAGAAGAGAAAGTTGATGTACCGCAATGTACACTGGGATTCAGAAAAGAGCGAGACCATGTCCTTTGTTGTTGTTATGCAAAAATAGGGACCTGGTTGGGAGTGTGAAACACATACTTAGTGCTATTTCACTTGAGTTTTGAGCCCTGGTCACGTCAAATTTTGTTGTTGTTACTGTTTTTTTTTTCCTTTTATCGTTTTTTCCCATTCAATTCACATTCTTCTTCAAAGGATATTTTAGATGTGCTCAAAGTAAAACGGATACGTAGCGACGTAGCTCTTACATTCAAATCTATAGCAGGTCGAAATACAGAGATGATACCCAGAACAAACAGTCTGCCATTTTGAAAAGCGTGGGGGCTTGGGGAAAGGTTTATAGACTTACCGACAACACAATGTGATGAGTACAGCCTTGCTGGAAGGAATGCACAATAGGCACAAAAACGCAAGTGAAGCAAATAATTTTCATGAAAGTTATGTATATTTTATGTACACTAGGTATATGTTTGAGTTTCATACTGGTAAGTTCCAGAGCGCATTTTGGGATTCGACCGAGTAAAATTTCAGAAAATTTCTAGACTGGGTTTGCTTCTATAAATATTAAAACGAATTTCCGTCTCTATTTTTCCCCTTTTTTCAGCTTTGTGCCTGTCCACCCTCCTCCCTTGTCCACCCCCCTCCCCTGTCCACCCTCCTCCCCCTCCTCTCCTCCTCAGGTGATTACATTAGTCTCAACCTGTGATAACAGCAGATTTGCATTTGCATGTTGGTTTCATCTACCATTAAAATAAACATTTTTGCCTCTCCTTTTCTCTCATTCCCTCACCACGTTACTTAACTATTAGAGGATATTGTTAGCTTACGTACGGAAACGTGGCGTGTTAAGACTAAAAAAATAGTTCACGGGCACTCGCGGTTGCAGGTCACTGATAGCAGAGTTTACACGGAAGAAAAATTATTTCAGGAATTAAACCACTGTATTACAAAAATTGTGAAGAATGGCCGATTACAAGAATCGATCGAGTGACGATAATATCACAGTTATCCCTGACAAAAGACTGCTGCGCCTCTAGGAATTGTAAGTGATGACGCTAAAAGTATGACTCTGTCACAGAATGAGTTCTCATAGTTGATGCGAAAACGTTTCGGCGCATTTAACTCACTACGCGCCGCAACGGCGATGTCTGTCCGTTTTGGAGGAAACTGTAAATCCGATCAGGTGAAGGGTGTAAGCACTCCTGAGCACTTCAAGACAGGTGTCAAATAATATCTAATTGAATTGAAGACGTTTTTCCTAACCTGTTGTTGGTTATATCCTCAGGAGTGCTTGATGTTTTCAAGAGTAGATCACACCCTTTGTGGATTGACCAAGGGTAGTTATGGCTGTAAAAGAAGAAAGCAGTTCTTGTGTGACATGAGATAAAAATTAAAAGTACCCTAAAGCACTCGCAGCGGTTCCCATTGCCTTCGTTGACAAATGAAAATCAGTTGTCAAATAACATCTGGAACGACTTCGCAAGACCGACAGAAAAAAAAAGATAAAAAAAATAATCTCATTAAGAGGAAATCCTAGAACGACTTACGGGATCAGGGCACAGTTAAGATGGAGTACTATGACATTGCGCTCTGCATCACAGCAAGTAAATTTCAACAAAACATGAGATCTGATTGGTTGAACTAAAATTAAAATTAACTATCGCGCCCCAGGATCTCTGGAAAACTGAAAACAATGGGTGACAAACTACTTTATAAACAATCATTGTCGTGAGACAGAATGTCGATCCTCGATGGTTCATCAGATCCGTGAGGCTTTAAATACTTGAACTCCGGGTGGTACGTGTAGGCGGCCATCACCGCTAAAAATATAGGCATAATAAATGGTTTGTAATAAACAGAAACGGTCTAATTGTCTTTTGGAGAACGGTTTATCTTACCTTAAGAGATTTATTTAAAATACAAATAGACAAGTCGCCTTGGGTGAAATGAAATATTTAAACAAAAAATGTTTTACACAATTCAGAAACTGTGTAGCCACCCTTGTTGAAATGATTCAATAAAAACACGAGTGGCCAAGTGTTAAATGAAATGGTTCATGACAAACGATTCAGCTAATTGTACTTTGGTTAAGTGACTTGACACAAACGGTTCAGAGTAGTGTGAAATGGCTGAAGCTATCGGCAAATGGTTTATCGAAGCCGCAATGGTTTATTTCGCATCAATCTGGTCACCGTAAAGTGAAACAGTTTAGCGTAACGACAAATGGTCTAGTATAAACCGAAATGGTGTAGTGTTACAGCAGTTGGTTTACGCTGTAACCGCCAAGAATACAAAAGTGAAATGGACAAGTCAAGCTTGAAATGAAACAGTCTATGTGGGGTCTTACGTCACAACCCTACAATTTTTATAGTTTTTAGGCGCCCTTTAGTTGTAGTTTCGTCGTCTTAAAACAATGAATCGCTCTATCACGTTTCCTAGCTATGGTTCTGACTGTCTAGGCTGTAAATGTGCTGTCGCGTAATATGATGCTTTTAAAGTGTATTTTTGTCATTCCTTTTGTTTCAGATTCTTATTTTATCTTGAGGTAGTAAAATGGAGAATTCTTACCATGGTCACGCGTAACCATGGTAAGAATTCTCCATTTAAAGTACAGC